GCAGCGGCGCAGCCCCGCAGCGAGCCCTCGGGGCACTGAGCGGCCGCCCTTCCCGAGGGGCCCCTAAGAAAGGGGGGTACCGCTGCCCACCGGCCCGGCGCTCCCCTCTGGCCGCCTTGACCTGGGTTTCCCCCCGAGAGAGTGGGAGCTGTGGGGAGGGGAGAGGGGCCCGAGGAGGGGCGTGCGTGTCCCTCCTTGTCGTCTCGCTGGGTCTTTTGATGTCCCACGGTGTTCGCGAGGGTCGGTCCGGCGGCTCTGCGGTAGCTTGCCGGGGCTTTGCTGTTTGAGCCTCTTGGCGGTGTTAGGGCCTGGTGGGCCCTCACCCTCGGCCCTAGCTGCACTCCGGGAAAGTTGATACTCACCAGGGTAGGAGCAGCCTCGCCTTTAAAATCCTACTTACTTTCATTTCGCCTTTCTTAAGTGACTTCTAGAACCCAAACTCCATCCTCCTTTGAAGGATGTCTTTTAAAGGTGCTTTTTCTATTTCTATTTAAGGATTTCTCTCCTTTGCTTGAAGTCTGTCATCTGCTGCCAGTAGGGCGGTTCACTTCTGTGTTAAGCCTTGTACGTCACTTGTTTGATGCACTACTATACTTCTGCTGTCTGATCTCCCTACAAATGCGTGACTCTCCCAGCTCTTGATTACACAAGACCTTTCATCTTGCTCTGAAGACTGAGACCTCCTTATGAAAAGTCCTTTTTCCACTCTGCCGCCTCCTCCTCTGGCAATACATAGGCGTGTTATCTCAGCTGCATTTTTACAAAACCATTATCACTGTCCTTAACTTCCATCTTTACTTTTGTCCCAACGGGATAATATTGTTCCTGCCTGTTGTCACACCTTTTGTTTTTCACTTTCTCTGATGGTACAACCAGTGACTTTTGAAATGCATCTAGATTTTGTCATTTGGTGAAACCTTAGTAAAGTCCTTAGCATGTATCTTCGTTACTTCTTGGAAGAGAAAAGAATTTGAATATATCTGAATTACTTCTGAATACTTTTCTGAGAAAAATATTTATGTTGTTCATAGCAAGATGACTGTTTGCATTATGAGCAACTGTACATTTCAAAGGCACTGATAGCACTATTTTGTGATATATAATGCTAATGTCAAGAACTTACCTGGTGTTTTTATAGTATAAAACCATTTTGATTCTTATTTTTCTGATAGTTAGAAATGCGTTTTCTAACTCTAATGTGATTAGAGTTTTGTGATAATAAGCTGGGACTTAGAAAATCAGTAAATTTTCTTTCTATGTTACTGTTTGTCTTTTAGGGCTTCAAATTCTTTCTGGTTTTAATGATTTGCATTTTACAAACAAAATAGTTCCCATAAGTGTCATTTAAGTTTTTCTGTGTTCTGAAGAGACTTTTGTCTAATTGTGGGACGTTAGTTCTTCTTTTAAAAAGGCTGTTGCTGGAGTCAGGCCGTATTCTGAAAATGGTAGGAAAGAGAAACCAAGATGTACAGTGGGTGAACTGATTTTAATCACTAGTTCTGATTAAATTATCAGTCAAGAAGTATTGATTTAAACTTTCAATTTTAGTTTTGCTTTGTATGTGTATTTTAGCTAATTTGGTAATCATTACTATATGTTGTTTCTCAACAGTCAGTAAAACTTAGGCGCCACATTTAATTCTTTCTACAAGTCATAAGAACATAGCATATCTACACAAGTGCTGGGGCCTTATCACTTCTTACTAGAAGCAGAAATAATGCTAAAGATTTAGTAGTACCTGACTGGAATTTCAGTACTAAGGAAGGAGGGAAGAATTAGAAGAACCAAGCTAAACAATAAGGACTGCATGTACAAGATTCTGGCAGAGATTAGGGCGGGTGGTTTATAGAGCTGAGGGAGTGGTAGTGTGGCAAAAGAAATCTGCCTCTCTAGTTCATCCTGGTCTCAGTTTTTGGAATTTAATCATGTTGTTGACAAAAACAGGTGTTATCAACTTGCGAAAGGTGATGGCTGGATGGCAAGCTCCCTATTCATCCTTGTGGCAGTGTTTGTTTATATGTATTATTTAACTGGCTTCCTATTGTTTTCATTTCTACATGGTGTCATTTCTTGTTTACTAAAGGAATGTAATTTCTTATTTACTAAATTGTTTTCTCCATCCAGAGCACACCACAGCATAAATTATGGAACATTAATAATATTCAAAACTAGAATTTTCATGCTTTATAATTTTATTAACATTTGAAAGCCCATCTTTTCCCAGGAATAATTTATATTATTCATCATAGTGTCAGGCTTGGTATGTTAAATAGGCAGTAGACTGTTATTTTTATTAGGGACATTTTAACGCAATTACATACATATATAATAACACGTGTAGCTGGTGCATTAACATTTAGAAGATGTGTACCTAAATCAATATTTAAGGATGTATACAGAAAGTTATTTTTACATTCTTTTTAACAAAATACTTTCGTTCTTCTTATTGGAATTCATTTTCTGTGTACTTTCTTTGCTACTTTACAGTTATTTTCTCTTCTCTTATTGATTCTGCTTTGTTTTTTGTGTCCTGAATCTGCTTGCTCTTGTGTTCATTCTTTCGTCCTGGCCATTCCTCAAATCGTTACTGTCTTCTGTTGTAACTCTACCCAACCAGCTTACTTCACTCTGGGCTGTTCTGCTGAGCACTGTATTGCTGCTTGGATTTCTGTAGGATATCCTGAAGGCAGACTGTAGCTAATTTCACTTTTGCTGCAGGTCTCAAAGTACAGAAGTAAAGGGGAGCAGCGCAGGATTAGGAGACGTGTGCATTTGAAAGATGGAGTGACGAAACTGTCAAAATTATCCTGTTCACTTCTTAGTGCACTAGTGCACTTAGTGCGCTGCTTAGTTATAAGAATAAGCATTTCTTTTCTAGTACACTTACTCAGATTTTCTTGATTGATTGTTCATGTCAGTCTTTGGACCCTAGGATTCTAACCCTTGATATTCTGTCACATAGGAATGAAAACTATTTTATGTTTTTAATCTTTTTCTATTCTAGGAAGTAATGTTCTAAGAATGTCATCAGGCATCCAAATAAAACCAAAGACTGCAGTACAGAAAAGTAAGACATCTTCTTTGCCATGTTCTCCAGAACCTGCACTTAAACCACAGCCAAAGCCTAGTGATAAGCTCAATCCTAAAACTATTGATCCGGTATGTATATGTCGTGGCTTTTCTGTTTGTTTGTTTAAAACAGATCTCTTGTTGGAAGAAATTTCCTTACTTTATGAAAAACATGCAGGACATGCTTCTTCTGGTCCTGTTTTGTAAATTGAAACTAAACTTTTGTTATTAATCATACATTCCCTAATTTCTAAGCTCGACGTAACATGTTTATTACTTTTTTAAAAAAGGGGTTTTGGTACAATTGTGGCTTGGATGGTAACTTTTTTGTTTTCCATATACCTTTGCCCTAAAAAGAGATTTAGAAGTAAGACTTAAAAAGGGTTGAGGTTTTTTTGGTTATAAATTTTGTCACCTGCTTCTTCAGAGGAACTGATCTCACTTATGCAATGAAACCAAGAATCAGGTAGCATCTTGAAGATCATCTAGACCTCATAAAATCTAATAAATTAATTGCTAGTGAGCACTACTTGAAACTCCCAAGTACTGTGAATATGTAATACTTTGGGAAGAATTTGAGCTCTCAGGAGAAAACTGGTGAAAGGAGTTGTTTATTTCTCAGAAGTCCTGCGCCTGGAGAACTAGCTTTGAGTGGGTGAATTATAGCTCACAACTGGGCCATATCAGCCAAACAATTAGTAATGTCACAGACTTTTTGGAAAACAAACTAAAGGTGGGAGTGCTTTGGTGAGGTACTAGTTTGCCATAAACAGAGGCTGAATACTTTCATGTGGGCTTTTTTTTTCTTGAAACCTTTTTGCAAGTAGTACAATGACTTAAATAAGCCAAGAAGTCATCAAATCATGCACACAATTTTAACAATGTTAATGTAGGTTCAAACACTCGAAAGATAAAAATTAAGATTCCATGGTATTTCCTGCTATATGCTTTGTGATAAGATGTTTAATCTGGGAAGTAGCATTGAATGATCATGCTAATAAATAATATCATAGTTCATATGCATGAGAAGTATGTATATGATAAGAAACAACTTTGTGCAGGCTTTCCTCCCGTGAAGCTCCTAGTTTCCTTCTCCAGTGAGTCCTTCCTAGATTCTCACCCAATATGAACCTCCCCGCTGATTTCCAGTGCCCTCATATCATCTTGCCCAACAGCTGGCGTTTCTCCCACATCTTGCCACCTTGTACTTTTGTCTATACTCGGATCAAGATGGAATTGGAGTAAATCTGCCTTCTGCATGTTACTAATATAACAACAATAAGAGGATCAAGAAATTGAGAGGTCCTTAATCTGTTAAGGAGAGAATCCATAAGATTTCAGTGTTAAGATTAGCAAGAGAAAATAGAAAAATAAGGGTATTCCATCAGGAGAGCACTGATTCTCCAATATTTATTCATTTTTACAACTTCTTAGCCAGACAATTCTGAAAAGCATTTTTCTGATAAATGTACCAAATGTGTTTTCCACCTTGCAGTTCTTTTTTTAACTAGTTTTATAACTAAGTTTCTTTTTTGGTAAACTGCAGTTTTAACATATTCAAAATAGTTATCAAACATTACTGTTATGAATAAATAATGCTTTTTTTTTTTTTTTGGCCTCACAGTTTGGTGCTCATTCTCGACCACCTTCTGCATTTGCTGCTATATACGCTAAAGGTGGCATTCCTTGCAGGTGTGTTGGTTTTGTTTATTTTTTTTACTAAATACATCATGGTTAGGTAGAATTACACAGATTGAAATACATCTATTCATGTTTGATCTTTTAGTTAGGCTGTTTCATTCCATTCATTTCTGAAAAATTTCTGATACTTAACTCTTTTCAAAGCCGAAAGCAATTTTCCATGTCTTTGAAACTGTCGCCTTTTGGTTCATTTTTTATGCTGTATTAGTACTGAAGCTGTATTTTTAAAGAATAGCTAGGTATTTGCAGATTTGGTTTGCTAAGCCTCTTTCATGAAAGAAGTTGATTTCATCATGTTGTGGTGTTTACTTTTCCCTACTAACAAAGATAATAAAATCAGTGCCATTTTAGTAAGCAGACATCTTGCAGTCTTTTTTTTGTCTGAAGTAAGTAGTATGACAACATTTTCTTGAATATTCCAATTCTGTAGTTGTCAGCAATATCAGGTATTAACAAAACTACTTGTAAGTAATAGGTTGTGGTATTTTAAGTTACTTTTGTCTGTTATGTATTTGCCTAGACAATAAGCACTTTAGTGTTTTGTCAAGTGGATGCAGAATTACTTAACAAAAATTTAAGTAATTGTTATTACATGTATATACGTGTATATAGCCTTTATGTATCTTAGGAGTAACTGATGAATTCCAATATGATTTTCTTTCAGTTTCAACTGATTCCCCCCAATTGTTATTTGAGGAAAATGTTTCTTGTTGTTCAAATTGTTATTTGAGGAAAATGTTTCTTGATATTTATCAAAATAAGTAACTTTGCAAAGGGAGCATCTTCATTATTGGTATGAGAGGCATCTATAATTTTTATTGCTTTTATTTTCTGATTTCTATATAATTGGGAGCAGAATTTTGAAAACTGCCGTATTTGGGACTTACAATAATTGTGCTGTTAAATACCATTATACATTTCACTAAGGAGAGCAGTATGTATTGAAATTGTGTATATAACATTATAATAATATTGCAAAACAGTTGGTGATATATTTGAAGAGAATAGTGTTAGCAATAAATTATATATTATTGTATGTTACTTTGTTAAAAATTTATTCTTTGTACAGGTTAGTGCATGGCTCAGTAAAGCACAGACTGCAATGGGAATGCCTTCCTGAAACTGTGCCCTTTGATCCTCTTCTTGTAACATTGGCAGAGGTAAACTCAATTTTCTTGCAAAGTTAAGCATACAGGATTTCCTAATTGCAGATGGCATTTTGTAACAAGCTAAGCTAGCTTAGACTCACCTACTAGGGAAATATGAAAAAAACATTTGTGAGGATCTTGTATGAATGAAGATGGTCAAGAACATTGCCATTTGTTGTTCTTTAATTAGAGCATTCTGGGAGAGCTAGGTAGAGCTATTTAATCTTCAAGATACTGGCCAAATAGAAGACTGCATCTCAGATTCTCAACTGTTGAATGAAATATTTCAATCCATTTGTGGCTTTGCAGGTTCTTTTGTAAACAAAATTGTTCTAATTCTTTTTGTATATAAAGCTTACCTATTGAAGTAAGAGTGCTCTCCTCAATAAATTGAACTAATACAGTGGAAATAGGATCCTGTAAATAAGTGAAAGAGAAATCTTATACATTATGCCCAGTCTTCTGTTTTCTCAGCATCTTCTGTGACATTTATCACCAAATATGTTTCAGGAGTGTAAATAAATGTTGAATCCAGTGTGGCAGATGGAATAAAGTGCATACTCTAGGTGGCGCTTTTTAAAATTTTTTTTATTATAAAGATTAAACAAAGCTGTCAGTTCCTAAAGAAACTTAGAGCTCCTATTATGGAAAGAAGAAGGACTTCGGCCATAGGGCTTTAAATCTTTGAGTTCTGCCAGTCAGGTCTCCACTAGAAGTGCATATTTGTAGCATCTACAAGTTTTTGGCGTTGCAGGGAGGGGGGTGTGGTCGGGCATGTCTTTCCTTCCATAGTTCACCTTCCCCCCCCCCCCCCCCCCCCCACGGTGAACTAACCAACACTTCAGGGTATGAAAACCACTTACAAATATAGCCTATTCTTGTTCATGGTCTTGTTGAAAAATTACCTTGGGTAGTTAGATTAAAGGTAATGAAGTACAAATATTGATTGAATTGGCAGTATTCATAATGTGAGTTTTAATAGTCAATGTTCCAAAAGAAAAATGAGTAAGAATATTCTGTAAGCAGAGTTGTACTCAATGGCTCCACATGGTGGAGTTAGTGTATTTTATGTTTTGAACTGATGTAACAAAATCTAAACATCATCTTGCTGCTACGTGGAACTTTTTAAATGTGTTTTTGTTTAAAAGAAGACTCACTATTAAGCAAACACGTTTTACATTTGCAACAGGGTCTAAGAGAGACAAAACATCCCTATACATTTGTTTCAAAGGAGGGTTTTAAAGAATTACTTAAGCTTGAAGGTGCTACTGAAAAAGCAATTCCCTTGTTGCCTCGTCTAGTTCCAGTGTTAAAGGCTGCATTGGTATGTCTTACTCTTCATGCAGAGATTTTAATGGGTTTGATTATTTTTTTTCTTTTTTCTTGTGCTGGTGAGGACTGCACGGAAAATATTAATGTGATAAATCTATTGCATGGGCTTTTGGTTTGGGGGGTGGGAATAGTTTCTTTTTCTCATGTTAACCCTGCCTTGGTTTTATTAGCTAAATATGTCTTTAACTGTAAATTCAGATGGGCAGCTCCTTGTATAGCTGTATGACAGTAGTTATGGGCAAATTCTGTGGAAATGTTCTATTAAACATCTCAATATAAGCGGAAATAAGTATATGTATTGGTGGTGGTTTTATATATCCACATAGCATGCAAAAAAAAAAAAAATTGAGGTGAAGTAAAATGGAGATGCGAGAATAAATACTCACCTGTTACATTTAAAAATTCAAAACATGCTACAGAGATAAAACAGAAAAAGCCAATGAGGAAAAGGGAAGAATACAGTTAAAATGTTTGAGGTCGTATTCTTCATTTTTAAAATGTTTTTAACTTTTCTACTCCTTCAGAAAACAGTGAGGTAAAAGTATTGGCCTCAAAGGTAATCTCTTTTGGATCTTTTTCATATCTATCAGAGCCCTTTTCTGGTCAGCTACTTGCTATCCTTCAATCTAGCTGTGTTTCAGTTCTGATTTTATAGAGATGGCTGAAAGTTTGAAAATTCTTTGTGATCTCAGATCAGAGGTGTAATAGAAGATCAGAATTGTGTGTTGTCAGTATCTTTGGTTTAGTTTGGAAGACAAAATTAGGAAAAATATTCTTGTCCATTCTTCCAGTTACTGTTATTAATCTGATAATTTTCATTGTTGCACTGTTTTAGTATAAAGTCTTGTTAAACCTTCTACTACACAAGCAGTCAATGACTTCTAGTTAAAAAACCAAAAACGTTCAGGACCCAAATGTCAGAGTGGAAAAATAACTGTATAAATAAGTCAGGTCAGTATTAGTACAAGAACAATATAAATTGTCATGAATCAATTTCTCTGCTAAAGGAAGAGTGAGGTAACTAAGCCATTAGAGAACTCAGAACTCATAGGAGAACCTTCCCATGGGAGTAATAAAGATGACAAAGCACCCTAGAAGTAGATAAGAGCCTGATAACTGCTGGCAGGTGACAAAGCTGCAGTTGGCAGGGGACTAAATTAGTTGAGCCAGAAAGTCATTGGCTCCTGTGTTTCTCCAACAAAGACAATTATTGTTGTGAATTACATAGAAATTACCCTGAATTCATTACATTTGTAACTAAAATGTTGTCTCTCAATTTCAACATATCCGCATTTGAAGGGCTCTTTCTAATATGCTATGAAGCACTGAAATTGTTGGTGTAGTAAACTGTTTGTTTTGCCTGACGAATTTTTTTATTTCATCAATAGTAAATTATTAGTTTCCTTGTCTCAGAAGAAACGCAAGAGTTTCACTGACATTTTGTGGATACTTTTGATTTCTACTTTAAAAATATACTTACGTTTTTAAATGTTACCTCTAGATACTAATATTCAGTCACATTATACTTGTATTTCTGAACTTGTAACATTGTAACAAGTTCTGACAAATTTTTTTATTTCATCAATAGTAAATTATTAGTTTCCTTGTCTCAGAAGAAACGCAAGAGTTTCACTGACATTTTGTGGATACTTTTGATTTCTACTTTAAAAATATACTTACGTTTTTAAATGTTACCTCTAGATACTAATATTCAGTCACATTATACTTGTATTTCTGAACTTGTAACATTGTAACAAGTTATATATAACTACAGTTGCACGGTAGTTTTAATTTTTAAAAATACTGTACATGATTATAACGTAGAGATTGCAGTTTTGAAGAACTTGTCCATTTGTCTGAATATTACTGACAGCATTTTCTTTTTCCCCCCCTCTGAAGGCTCATTTGGATGATGAAGTATTCAGAAGGGGATTGGATGCTCTAGTTCAACTGAGTGCTGTTGTTGGCCCATCTCTTAATGATCATCTTAAGCATCTACTCACAAATGTAAGTTTTTAATGCTGTAGTAAAAAATCATCTGTATTTTTACGCTGCTTTTGTTGAGATGTTTACTATAATACCTGCACAGATACAGTGGAGGACTCAGCAGTTCCATGAAAAGCATTACTTCATATATTCCTCTGTGTAAGTAAGTCCATCATTCTTTAATAATATGGTGACTTACAAAGTTCTAGCAAGGTCCAAAAACTGTTGTCAACGTAAATTGGAGAATAATGGAAGTATTGTCTCTACTATTTAAAAAAGATCCAGCTTCAAGCCTGACGTGAAATAGATGCTATTTTTTGAAGGGAAGTGTATGTTTATTGCAAAATTAGTTTTGCATTTTAAGTGTCAGTATTTTAAAAAATCTGTGAAAGTTTCAATAAATTAACATAAGCAAATATTCCCACTTCTTTCAGATGGGAATTCTGCTCAAGGAAGTTTTCACTAAATAAACTTAGAGTGGGATTGTAGAAAGTATTTTTATACTGAGTCCTTCTGTAGGCATCCTTCCTCTGTCATGGCTTTTCATGGTTTTGTTTAGCCTGCTTCCAAACTGCACTTTTACAGCAAAATAAAAGGACCTTTAGACATCCAATGCAGAAGAGAAAAATTGCAGTAGGTTTTTTTTAAAGTATTTCCACTGTAATAAATCTCTCTCAGTGCACATGAAAAATGCGTTAACTTTTCATGTGGACAGCACTTCAAGAATGACTTTTTTTTTTAAAGTTGATACCTCTTTAAAATTTGTTTGCTAAAAGAAAAAAAAATTAAATAAGTATTTTTTTGGCTAACAGTTGAGCCACCTTTGAATTTAAGTTTCTCATTGGTTTCCATTTTATTCCTTTTGCCTTGACTGAGTTCCATACTTTGACACCAGTTACAAGCTATAAAGTGATGTTTCTTTTTGGTTTTATTTTTCCAAAGACAAGGTGAAATAAAATAATAAAATAGAATTATATTGGCCTCTTTGCATATATTGTACTATATTGTGCAACAAACCTTTTTATTTTGCTTTTCCAATAGCTTTCAAGGAGATTAATGGATAAGAAATTTAGAGAAAAAATTACTGTTGCTCTACAAAAGTTGGAGCAATATGGTGGAAAGGTGAGTTGGCCAGATGATTATTCTGTAATCTGCACATTTGAATGCAACTTTGCCAAAACAACTTCCATCTCTGGCTTTCAGATTAAGAACCCCATTCTGAAAACTACTTATTTTCACATGTCACAGCTATCCATATTGCATAAAACATAGGATTTTGCACTGTGGCAATCAGCAGAGTTGTGTTCCAGTCCGTAGTAAAATAGTTGTTTTAGTCTGTTTGACATTGAGTGGTAACAGAAATGACATTAAATCTCTGGGTAATCCATATTCTGACAGTTAGGTTGTCTCCCATTTTTTTTATCTATATCTCCCACTTTTCATTTGTATTCTCCATTGTTTTAAACTCTGAGCGGGAAATACAGGAGTATTTCTCAGAAAAATATTCCAAGGGATCCATACCTCCATAAGAAGCTGCATGGCTGGACTCTTACAGCACAGCACACCAAGCCCCATTCAGGAGAACTCTTTTTGGGAGCAAGCATGCATCTATGTGGATCCCTACCCATGATATTTGCTTGGAATATTTTATTGTCCTTGGTGGGAAGCTTATGCGGACTTAGTGGTTAGAGTTACTCGCTGTTCTTTCTTGAAAATTCTCCATTTCTCTAGAAAGCCTCAGCTGGACTCTTACAGCACAGCACACCAAGCCCCATTCAGGAGAACTCTTTTTGGGAGCAAGCATGCATCTATGTGGATCCCTACCCATGATATTTGCTTGGAATATTTTATTGTCCTTGGTGGGAAGCTTATGCGGACTTAGTGGTTAGAGTTACTCGCTGTTCTTTCTTGAAAATTCTCCATTTCTCTAGAAAGCCTGAATTTTTTTTCCAGGGTTTGAACTGATGTGACAAAGGGGTTAGTTGCGTAGGGTAAGATCCAGGATGCCTAATGTAAGTCCTTATTCCAAGTTGGGCATTGCAGTACTTAGAAGGTACATGCTTATGCTGAGTAAAGCATGTGAGCTTCTTGTACAGACCATAGGGTAGGCTGGGTGCCTATGAAGAGTGATCCAGGAATTCACCAAATGTCAACTAGTAAATAGCTTCTGGCCCCTTCGGGAGTATTGACACCTGACTCAGGCTGAATATTTGTCTTGCTTCGATATGCCTGGGATGCAGGCTTCGTGTTCCTTTTTCTGAGCCTAAATACCTTTCTCAACAGGATTTACTCTTGCTAAAAGATACCTTTTGCTGTTATTGATGATGCCTGCCCATTCCCACTAATAGCTTAGTGTTTAGGTCACTTACCGAGGAAATCAGATACTCACATTCCAGCCCACCCTGGTTAACCTGGTTAGATCTGCAATTGCTATAAAGGAAAAAATGCTTTAAGTAATAGACAGCAGAGTATTCTGCTGCTGAACATTCTGTTGCCATTTTTTGTTGTACTGTACATTGTGCAGAAAGGAGGAGAGAAGAAAAGGTGAGAGAGTATGGGCTTGGATATTCATCTAGAAGAGAAAATATTTGCTTTCTTGACCCTATGAACACTTGCATATATTCTATTAAATGGTCATTGGTAAAGAATAGGAATAACCTAAAGGCCATAAATATAGGTCTACCAGTTCTGAGCTTGTGTGCCTTAATCAATAGGCACCCAAATAATCAGTAGCCACCACTTTTTTTTGTGTGTGTGTTCATATTCCTTTAAGGGCAGTAGCAGTGTTCGTATTACAGACTTGAAAAACATCATGACAAATAAAGAAGCATGACAGGTTTTTTTATTTATATGTAGGGAGACAAGAAAAGGAAAATTATGTCTCATCTTGATGTTCTGAAAATTTAGGTTTAGATAATGTAACTAATCCAGTGAATCATTAACCTCTAATTCTTCTGTCTGTCCCCTGATTTTTTTGTAGTCTTAGCTGTTTTGCAATTAGGTCTTTCTGCCTGTCTTTTAAAAATACTGCAATAAGATAAAGCATAAAACTGGAAACAAACTCAATTGTATAGTTTCATATAGAGACTATATGAATACTCACATATGTAGTGCCTAGTGCTCCTTAGTTTGATTAAATTTGTTTTATTTTCATCAACAGGCAACTGTGGCTATCATCAAATCTAAAATTCCAACCTATTGTTCTATCTCCTCTTGATCAAGAAAACTGTAGTGATTTGTACTGTAAGGTGGAGTTTGGAAAGAAACTGCCTGTGAACATCACTGACATGTATTTGGGTATGATATATTGTCTTAAAATAATGACAATTCATCAGTATGATGGAGAGTGGGAAAAGTCCTGCCAGTTTGTGAATATGTAATTATGGAAGACTATTTAAAATAATTCTCTCTGTATTGGCTGATTTTTGCACATGCATTGTACTTAAAATGACATTGACTAATTTGCTATTATTTCAAAAGCAGAGTAAATATTGACTCTTATTTTGTTGTAAATTACAATTTCCTTTAATAGATCTGCAGTGCTTAATATGTTTTGTACATTTGTGTGATGCAAAATAATTTGGCTGTAATTACTTAAATAGTAACTAACTTGGTGTTAAATTACATATGTATGCCCGCTTTTGAAACACATAACTTAATTTGTGCCACAGGCACAGATGGATGCAGTTTGGGTTCATCAGGACTTACTGGGTTAGATGTAGAACTATGAGAATTCATCCAGACTTCTTGAGAGTCAGTTTTTAAAGGTATGAAGCTGAGCACGCTAAACAGGTAGCATAAGGTGCAAAACTGAACTTGCTCAGTGCATTCTCAGCACATTGCTTTGAGAAGCTGGAGAGGCTCTGGAGAATACAGTGCAGAGGCATCAGGTTGCTCCATACAGCCACAGCCTAGATTTTGCTCAACTAATTAGTTCCAGTTAGCTTTGGGCCTACTGAATGTGAGCTAGATGTAGGAGGCAACTCTGGAGTATTTACACCATGCTCCCTTTGCATTGAGTTCCATAATGCCACAGATATGCTTGGGACTAGCTTGTGAATTCAGCTCCAGACAAGCTAATAAACTTCTGAATGTGGAAGCTATGAAAAAAAATATGACTTAAAGGCAATAAAAAGATCGCAGAAGCCAGCTTACCTGGCTGTCAAGCCTTGTAGGGTGCAGCGTTTGTCCATGAATGTATTTGAACTTGATTGAAAAATAATTCCTACCAGGTCTTGTAATAAATACTGTTCAGGGTTCATGTTGTTGTGGGTATTCGAGTAACTCTGAGGGAGAGCTGACTGAAGTAACAAAATTTGCCATAGGACCTTTTCCCCTGAGGAAAATTCAGTTCTGGAATTTAAAGTTGTTGGAAGGGGATTTTTTTGGTCATCAAAAGATGCTGTTGCATAGGCATAAAAAAAGTCTGTTATATGAAAGCAATTTCAGAATTTTTGGAAAATTACCACTGCTTGGCTAAATTAAATTTACTTCAGGACTGTGCTAAGATCTCTGCTGAGATCAGAACTGTGCTAAGTCAAGATACATGTTTTTAAGCTTTTTTTAAAAAATTAATGTTGTTGACAAACATGTTCAATTTGAAGAAATACAAGTATTTGTTTAACAACTCCAAAAAATGGATCATGCTGCTTGTTTTTCTTCATGTTTACTTTATTTTTTTTTTTTTACAAAATGTGCACATTTAGTTTACACAAACACGCTACAGCAGATTTCAGGTGTACATGTATTGTACTACTCTTATCCTACACTGGTGATAGCAGAGCAGCCTTCAACATGCCTCTAACATCCCATCTCTACACCAGAATAGATACCTGATTTATTTTTGCAAAAGAATGCTTGCAACATTCTTTCTACTTCATTAATCCCCTTTCTGCAGCAATGTCACAATGAAGAGTGGCCTATCTCTGATAGCATTTCACATATTTTGAAGTATTGGCATAAACTCTGTGGACAATATATCTTAAAAATTACATGGATGGGGGGCAGTATTATATTTTAGGTACATACTTTTTTGAGAAAAATCTTTCTAGGTTCAGAATGAAGGTAGCTCCAATCTTAATGAAGCAATGATCCTAAAAAAATGTAATGCAGTTATCACATATAGATGATATTATATAGCTAAAGTTTCCAACTTTTTCCTGGTTCTGTCTCCTAATTAAAGATATTACAAAAAGCTGAAACAGATGTTAGCCTCTCTAGCAGATACTAGTAGTAGATGTCACTACATAGTGATATTCATTCTGAGCACTGAGGTGGGATGGAATTTTCAAAAGAAGTTCATGCCTTTTTCTTCATTAAAGGCAGAAAGACGTGTACTCATGAAAACAGTGTTAGGATCCAGTTAAGGTTTCTTCATGAAAAATTCGAAGTCAGAAGATCCTTAATTTTAGGCAAAGAACTTCGTGGACACATCCAAGAAGAATTAGAAATACAGTATGTAAGACTCCTTGGTACTCACGTCATGAAAACTTAAATGCAGATTTACTAGATAAGTGTGATTGATAGAAGCTTACTTGTATTTGTTAGGGAGTAATGTACCTATAAGCATTTCTTTTTCTGTTCTATAACAGTTCTTCCTCTCAAGTTATCTATTTTGTTAGGTTGGTTTGTTTGTTTGTTTTTTTAAGAGAAAAGCAAGTCAAAGCTGGAAGGCAATTGCAGCAAGATGTGCATTGCACATTGATTATAGCACTTTAACTCAAAGTAGTATTCAAAAAATGAGGACTACACCATACAAATGTGAGAAGAAAATACATGGCAATGCCTCTGTATAAATTAGAAGCTAAGATTTAAGAAATACACTCAAACACCTGGAGCTTAATCCAGTACAAATGAGTAGCAAAACTAAGAGTATTTATTTAACCTCCTTGTGATAGTATCTATTTTATCTAGAGGCTAGAATGATAATAAAGCTGCATAACGTCGGGTCTTATTTTGTTTGGGTTTGGAGTAAAAACGTGACTTTTCAGAACAATCTTATTAACTAAGTAGCCACTGTTGAAATGCTAAATTGTATAATTTAGAAAGTTTTTTTTGGGGAAAAGTTTATACTAAAAAATTTCTTTGTATAATACATGTCTCAGTGTAAAGCTGAGTAATTTTATTTATGATAAAGCGGGAAATCCATCTTTTAGATAATGTTGCAGAATAGCTCGTATTTGTCCATTAGTTGTAGACCTAATGTCTTCATTAAATCACATTTTCAAAGAGTTGCATGGATCGCATTATATTCTCATCCTGTAAAAAAGACAACAAAAAAACCAAAAATCATACACCATTACAAATGTAGTTGGCAAATATCTATAGTGAAATTGGGTAGAACTAACTGTATTTTAGTTAATGACAATGTTATTTTTCAGCTTGTTTGGCAGAAGCAGAAAAAGGCTGTTAATGGATCTATGCTCAAGTAGATTTTTGTATATATTAATTAAACCAAACTATTCTGTCAAGAATTCAATAACATGTTAAGAAAATTAAGTCTGCAGTATTTCAGAGGTTATAAGTTTATATCCGGTATAACAAAATACATATAGACAATAAATACTCAAGGAATAATTGTTGTATCTGAAGTGTGAATCCATACATGGAATTGCTAGTCCTGTGTATCATACACAAGGAGCCTTTTTGCAATTCTAGGGCATCCTATTGCATAGCTAGGGATGACTCTAAAATAAAATAGATTTAAGTGTGCATCTTTGTCTGAACTGAAGAATCAGTCAATTCCACAAACATCACCGCAACGCTCTTTGACTCCTCAGCTCAGACTTTGTGTGTGTTCACAGTGAAAGATGTTGACTGCTTTCCAAAGCTACTTCTGCTTTCTGACTGCTTTGCATTAGGTAGGTAACAAAACCTTTGACTTCCTAGTTTTGCATAATGCTTACTGATGCATCACTCTGTACTCCAATTTTTATCAGTAAATAACTCTCAGCACGTCAGTCAGGGAAAAAATAATTTTTTTGTAACATTTACCTTTCAGTGTATAGAAGAAAAAATTTACTTGTAGTAGCCCATATTTGGTGGCGCTTCTGGATTAACAGTTGGTTGCACAATACAATATATATACAATACAAGAGTATATAACATGCTCATTTAGCATTTGCTGGTCTCCACTGTAATGATCCTCTTTTTTAATCTGAATGTACACCACTTAGTACTTTCTTGAGAGACAATCTAGCCACCTTTAATTCTAGTGAATAAAAAGACTAAATTTGATAGAATATTTTAGGAAGTTTCATGAGAGAGGCATATATATACTACAAGAGTATATAACATGCTCATTTAGCATTTGCTGGTCTCCACTGTAATGATCCTCTTTTTTAATCTGAATGTACACCACTTAGTACTTTCTTGAGAGACAATCTAGCCACCTTTAATTCTAGTGAATAAAAAGACTAAATTTGATAGAATATTTTAGGAAGTTTCATGAGAGAGGCATAAAACCCCCACTTCTTAGAAAGATTATCTCATACTGTTCTCCACTACTGATAGGTATGTAGGCTTTCTGTACATTAATGTTCCAATAACACATGATCAGTATCAATTTCCAGTTAAATTATTCACTGTTCAGTCTAGTGGGTGATTTGCTTTGTAGAAAATGACAAGTCTGAATAATTTTCTTAATTTATGTTATGAAACATGCACAGTGGGGTTTTCATCTTTGATTCCGTATGTCATCTCAAGTGATGTTGCTGTGAGAAGTGATCTGCGCACTATTTTGTGCTGTTAAACTAACTTATGAAAGCAATGATACGTAATTTCAAAAAAATCTGTTTTGTAGGTTAATGCTTAAACAGTTTGTGTAGGAAACTTACTATATTAAATTACTGGAAATTAAAATAAACTCACTTTTTCCCACTGCATTGTTTTGAAACGTTAATATAGCATTGAAGATCACTTACTAATGTAAGGTTAAAGTTTGGTTTAACTGGAATCATTTGTCATTTAATTATGTACAAATGCTTTTGTATATACATTGGCAACTAAGCTCAGCAAATGTGCAAAGCAAACGTTCTTAATTTAGAAACAGTGTTTTGACACTTCCTACCAATTTTCTAATTTACGTGTCATCATCACTAATGAAACTAGTAGTTTTCTAAAATCAGCTCCGTATTTCTGAAGTTTGCTGTTTCTATACAGAAGACTTCCAAATGCCCCTCCTTTAGTCAGTCAAATGGGAAGAGTCTTTATGAGAAAATATAGCTTTGTCATAATATTTGGAACATGGTGACTGTTAGTAGCTTTTTTTTCCATCTTCAAAAAAAAAAAAAGCAGATGCTTGCATTAGAATTCTTTGGCAAGTGTATCTTTCTCATTTGCCTCTCTTTTTCAGTACATTTTTCTAAACAGTTTTTCATAATAGATCAGGGGAATCAGGTCATACACATTCCCTGTCCAAGATAGAGGGAGGATGAGGGGAAGCACCTTTGCTGTCCTCACTTAACTGTGGGCAAAGGTAGGTCCTTATACCCAGTGACCAGAGAAGACCATGCTCAAAGCCTGAAAGCTCGGTGATTCCCTACGTAACTGCTTAACATTTTGTGAACGGACAGGCCAATTTGCATTGGGACTGTGAATTAAGAGTCTTGAACTTGCTGTATACCTCAGGCTGTACAGTGCTACTGCATTGATAGTTTTGCCAAACCAGTATTCAGTACAAGGAGGTGATTTTAAAAAAGGCATATGCATGTATAATGAGTGTTTAAGAACACACCAGAGGCTCTTGATGCTACAAAAAAATCTCAGGAACCTATCCCAGGAACCTGAAGCAGAGCCTCTGTATTCAGATATGCTCTGCTGTGTTCCTTCTTGCTCTTAAAGTAAGCATGCCATGCTTTCCTTAGTTATGACAACACACCAGTAAAAGGGATGTGCTTCTAAGACCCACTAATTTGTCTTCCAACTCAGAGGAATGGCAGTTCTCAGAGGCTGGCAACTGTTGCCCGAGAGACCATTCAAAGAAAAGGCTCCTGCAGCCTTTCCCTAGCAGAACAGGCTTCTAGTCTGTTTTAAGATGCAGGCTGGAGGGGATCTGAGCTTTAGAGTTTGGTTGAGGGTTTTTTGTAGTGCTTGTCTCTTGGCACGGTTTTGACTTTAATCTCACAGCTTGAGCTGGAACCTCGGGGCTGGCAAACATATCCACTGTATACCTTTAGCATGTATTTTCAGGTGTACCAGATGCTGGCTGCCATATCCATCAATGGGCATTCCCATTCCAAGGTCTGAGGTACAGTCATTTCTTACGCAAACTGGCAGGGAAGGTTTTGAGCAGATGTGGTTTAACATCAGCCTTAATGCCAAAGGAGGGTTTGTAGATGAGAAAGCCACCATAGCTGTTACAGCCTAGGGAGCAGCAGGAGCACCCGTCCTGAATGTCCTGATCCTGGTAAACCAAAGGTAACAGTAGAACTAGCAGTGGTCTAGAGGGAGGGCCAAGGGTGATTAAAGGTGTGGACTGGTTTCCCTAGGAGGAAAAATTGAATAAATGAGTATTTTACAGCTTGGTAAAGAGATACTGAATGAAGGGCAACAGCAATAACCACTGTTTTTCCATAACACAAGAACATATGGAAAACAAAAATATTGCATGGCAGGTCTAGAACACAGGCAGATTTACTACAGGAGGGATCACAGGATCATTTAATTTTGCTTTTGGCATCGTTAAATGCTCATGAAAGGTGAGACTCCTCGCTCCTGGAGTGATGTGACTCACTGCATGCTGAGGAAAGAAAGGAACCTGAACCTCGCCTTTTTAGATCAGTCTCGTACCCATTAGGATATTTAAAAATGGTTTTCCTACGGCTGTGTCTTAAAAGGAAGCGGCCACTACTGTCCTGTGTGAAAAATGTAATCCTGAAAAGGCTGAAGCCACGTTAACTCCTGAATCAAGTTTCTTGAAGGCCTTGGGTTGAATCGTAACCCCAATTCTCATTTCTGAAACCAAATCTTGATATAAACATGAATTACACATTTTGCAGCCCAGAGGTCTTAATAGAAGAACAGGTCTTAGTAGGTAGAGAGACAAAAAATTAGGCAGCGAGATACATTTTGTATCAAAAAACATTGCCACCTTTGAAGTTAAAAGCAAGTGAAGGTGAGGTAAGTGGCAAGATGAGAACAGTGTCTCTGTCATGTAACAGTTTAGAGAGCATCTCTCACATGTATTCTGAATACTCAGAAGAGGTAAATAAGAAATTTTCTAACAGAACTGAGAAACTGTGAATCACATTGGAAAAGGAGAGCAGGCAATTCCCTACTGAAGGTACTAATTTTCTTTGTAAATGAATCACTCAGCCCATCACCATAATGGCTGTCATATCCAGATTAATCTTTAATTTAATTTCCAGAACTCTGCAGACCTCAGCCGGGAAGTAAATCTCATCTCTGTTTCTGACGATCACTCAGCTTTAGCAGAGCAAATGCCTTTCATTCGTATTGAACAAGACTGACAAGCTAGAACTACGGTCAATGCAATAGAGCACTGCCAACAGATAAGACACAATACCCATTGCTAAGGATATATACAGCCACAGTTAGAAGAGCTGTTGTCTTTCTTTCATCCACCAAAATCAGTAGATTAATATCAGAGGGTCACTTACTAGATAGCTGTGCTCATGAGAGCAATCCCAAAGAATGACTACAAATGCATATAAAAATTTATCAATTCTAGAGCATCTTTGCTATTTCCTGTTCAGCTTTCCCTATTCCATATGGTTATAAATCTGTCACTCACTAGCTGCATTTATCTTGCTAGTCTTGTTCTCTCCTGTCTCTTGTCTACTACTCTTTTCTTGGTATAGGAGATAAGCAATACACAAAGGCTATATTGTTGGTCTGTGTCGGCTTTGTATTAACCAGTCAGCCTGGACAAGGCTGAGGTATCAACAGAACGCTACTATGATTCCGTATATCTCACTGTAACAAATAGCGTTGGTTTGTCCTGGTTTCGGCTGGGATAGAGTTAATTTCCTTCCTAGTAGCTGGTACAGTGCTGTGTTTTGGATTTAGGGTGAGAACAATGTTGATAACACACCGATCTTTTAGTTGTTGCTAGGTAATGCTTACACTAGTCAAGGACTTTTCAGCTTCCCATGCTCTACCGACTGAGAAGGCTGGAGGTGCACAAGAAGCTGGGAGGGGGCACAGCCAGGACAGCTGTCCCAAACTGGCCAAAGGGACATTCCAAACCATGGGACGTCATGCTCAGTACATAAACTGGGGGAA